ATCTTCCTGGTGAGTATGTAATGGCATTTTATTGTGGATTAAATTGCATTTTCCTGACTAATGATGTTGAATATCTTTTTATATGTTTATTGGCCATTTGAATATCCTCTTTTGTGATATGTCTGTTCAAGTTCTTTGTCATGTTTCTGTTGGGTTGTATTCTTCTTAATGATTTATAAAAATCTTTGTATTTTGAATAAAAGTTTTATCAGCTACATAGCAAACATCTTCCCTCACTTTATGGGTTGTCTTCTCACACTTGTAATGGTGTCTTTGCACTTTTTGTCCCTCCCTTTTTCAGTGCTTGATTGTATGACAAAATAAGTACCTTGTAATCTACCACCTTATCCTTTAACTGCCTGTGAAGTATAGCACCTTGTCCTGTACAGATTGTCCCATTTGTCTTCACCACCTGTATACCAGGCCCAGGGATCTCACATAGCCCATCCCTGTGACAAGCAGGAAAAGATGGGGAGGAGAGGAAGAGGCTACCAAGGGGAGTAGGTTTTTTGTTTTTTTGTTTTTATAGTTACCACTTTACTGTATCCTGTTTAAGAAATTTCTGCCTACTTTAAGAACACACAGATGTTCTCTGTTTCCTTCAGAAAGCTTTATTGTTTTACATTTCACATTTAAATCTGGTATGAGATGGAATCAAGATATTTATACGCTTTTTCATATGGATAGCCAGTAACAACACCTTTAATTGAAAAGACCATTCTTTCGTCCAGTTCATTTCACTGTCACCTCTGTCAGGTATGTGGGTCTATGTGTGGACTCTATTGTATATGTGGCTATTTAAGGACTCTATTCTGTTCAATTAATCTGTTTTTCTTTGTACCAAAAACATGCTGCCTTTAATTATTATACCTTCATAATAAATCTGAATGCTCCTGTTGCTCAGTCATACAAACTCAAACTTTCAGCACCACTTTACTAAGTGTGCAAGTCTCTATAAATAATTCCTTTTGTAATTGACATATTGTCATACAAGTTTGATTTCATGGCTGTTCCATAAAGGTATATGATTGCCTTTTATAGTCATGTCAAAGTAGCAATTTTTATACTGTCCTTCTTACAGAAGGCTGGTTTATATATTTCTGAGCCTATAGCCCATTCTTTTGAAGAGCTCTTATTGAGGTAAGCCTTCATGTATATAGTATTCCATTTAGAGAATATACTATAATTTATGCATTCTACTGTAGATGGGAATTTGGGTCATGGAGGCGATTATAGTGTATTCCAGAACACATCTCATGGTAAACTTATGTATGCATTTCTTCTAGGTATATATATCTAGTGGGATTACTAGATCATAGAGCATATATATGTCCACATTTAGAATAATAGATACTGCCAAAATGTTTTCCAAAGTAGTTGTACAACTTATACTCCTACCAGCACTGAATGAGAGTTCTAGTTGCTTCATATCCTTGCCAACACCCAGTATTTTCTTTTCCTTTCCTTTTCTTAATCTTCCTGGTGAGTATGTAATGGCATTTTATTGTGGATTAAATTGCATTTTCCTGACTAATGATGTTGAATATCTTTTTATATGTTTATTGGCCATTTGAATATCCTCTTTTGTGATATGTCTGTTCAAGTTCTTTGTCATGTTTCTGTTGGGTTGTATTCTTCTTAATGATTTATAAAAATCTTTGTATTTTGAATAAAAGTTTTATCAGCTACATAGCAAACATCTTCCCTCACTTTATGGGTTGTCTTCTCACACTTGTAATGGTGTCTTTGCACTTTTTGTCCCTCCCTTTTTCAGTGCTTGATTGTATGACAAAATAAGTACCTTGTAATCTACCACCTTATCCTTTAACTGCCTGTGAAGTATAGCACCTTGTCCTGTACAGATTGTCCCATTTGTCTTCACCACCTGTATACCAGGCCCAGGGATCTCACATAGCCCATCCCTGTGACAAGCAGGAAAAGATGGGGAGGAGAGGAAGAGGCTACCAAGGGGAGTAGGTTTTTTGTTTTTTTGTTTTTATAGTTACCACTTTACTGTATCCTGTTTAAGAAATTTCTGCCTACTTTAAGAACACACAGATGTTCTCTGTTTCCTTCAGAAAGCTTTATTGTTTTACATTTCACATTTAAATCTGGTATGAGATGGAATCAAGATATTTATACACTTTTTCATATGGATAGCCAGTAACAACACCTTTAATTGAAAAGACCATTCTTTCGTCCAGTTCATTTCACTGTCACCTCTGTCAGGTATGTGGGTCTATGTGTGGACTCTATTGTATATGTGGCTATTTAAGGACTCTATTCTGTTCAATTAATCTGTTTTTCTTTGTACCAAAAACATGCTGCCTTTAATTATTATACCTTCATAATAAATCTTGAGATCAGATAGTGTAAACTAACATTGCCACAGCTTACCAGTTTAATTATTATTCTTCAAGACCGTCTTTGCTACTCTATATATTCTAGGTGCTTTGCATTCCCATATCAATTTTAGAATCATCTTGTTATTTTCCACAAAAATCCTACTGGGGTTTTGATTGGGATTATGTTGACTCTATACCACTGGTTGTCATTCAGGTGCAATTTTTACCCTTCATGGGACATGTGGCAGTGTCTGGAGGCATTTCAGTTGTCACACCTTAAGGAGTGCTACTGACATCTGGGGAGCAGAGACCAAAGATGCTGCTCAATATCTTAAAATGCATAGGACAGCCCTCTGCCAATAAATAATTACCCATTCCAAAATGTCAGTAGTGCTGCTGTTGAGAAATTCTGAATCAGTATCATCGCTCTTTCATTTGGGCTTGTGTCTGCCATCTTATTATTTGTTTTCTATTTGACCCACCAATTTTGCTTCCTTTTTGCTCGTTTTTTACCTTCTTATGGATAAATCAAAATATTTATTATCCCATTTTCCTGCTCTGTCAATTTGTTAGATATATATTCTTTTACAGTTCTTTTGGAGCTTACTAACTTACAAGGTTCAGAGTGCATTCTTCACATGTTACAGTCTAATACAAGTTATTTTACCACTTCCTGATTTTGCTAGACTCCTAATAAACTTAATTCCTTTTACACCTCACTGCCACGCTCCTTTTCTGCATCATTGTCTTGCATTTTGTTTTTTATACATATAGAAAAGACATAATAATTGTTTTGTACAGTTAATATTCTTTTATATTGACCTACTCCATTGTTCTTTATTTCTACCTACATTTCCATGCTTCTGTCTAGTTCATTTTCTCCCTTTATTTTTTCCTTTAGTGCAGATGTGATAACAATGAATTCACTCAGTTTTTCTTTTTGTCTACAAACATGTCTATTTTACCTAAAGTTTTGAAAGATGTTTTTGTATATAAAATGCAAGGTTGGTAGTCATTTTCTTTCAGAATGTTAAAGGTGTCATTCTGTTGTCTTATGGATTTCATCATTTCTGTTGATCTTATTGCTGTATTATGTTTAAGGTTTTTCTCTTGATTTTTGGGTTTTCTGCAGTTTGACTGTGATGCATCTATGTGTGTTTTTCTTTGTACTGTCAACTTGGGGTTTATGGAGTTTCTTGAATCTGTAGGTTGATCTCTGTCATTTTTCAGCCATTTATCCCCCAGCAGCAGCCTTCTCCCAGAAGTCATTATTTTAGATCCTTGAAGATTGTAGTTTTGTCCCTCCTCAGCCTCGCATGACCACATTAATAGCATTGTGGTTTCTTTGTCCTCAGTGACAGGCCTCAGCCTGGGCCACACTGTAATCCTGAGCTTGTGTCCAGGATCACCAAGTGCATCAAGGGGAAAAAAATCCAGCTATTGATCATTGACTCACTGTGAACATTCACCCCTAGCTAGAGTATTGGTCTGTCTGGTCCTTGTTGCTTCCACAACTATTTGATGCTTTAAGAAATGATATTTATAATTTATCTGACTTTTTCTATTTGTCAACAGGACTATTAGCCTGCTACACCCCTTTATATACTACTTGAAAGCAAAATATGTACAGCAAAAAAGGTGTTTTTGAGTGCTTGACATGTGCCAGATGCCATTTTAAGTTCCAGGTATAGGACTGCCCAGTTGAAAATAGGTAAGACAGACTTACACAAATAGCGTGCCTCAATACTTTAATAGTGGTGTGTGCAGTGGTAGGACAAAGGGGGTGAATGTGAAGAAGCACCACCTGTTTAGGAAATTACATTGTTGCAGTTTCAAGTTCAAGGGGTAAAGCAATGAGTGGTGAGGTTGGTGAGATAGGCAAGGGCCTAACAGTGAAAGGCCCTGTAGGTGTGGTGAAAAGGTGTTTGTACTTTAGGCAAGCTATAGAGCGCAGCTGAAGAATTTTAAGCATGGAGAAGAGTGATCAGATTTTTGTTTTAGTCGGCTTACTTTCACGTCAGTGTGAAATGTGTTTTGAAAAAGGGCATGCACACAAGGCAAGGGGCCAGAGAGGAAACTGTTACAAGTGGTCCAACATTAAATAGATGATTATAATCATCAACAGATTTGAAAGATGTTAAAGGGTTAGAATAGTGGAATTCAGAGGGAAGTGAAAGAAAGCAAGAGGCTAAGGTTTCTAGCCCAAGTGGGAACCATAAATCACAAAGGGAATACAGAAGAAAGAGCAATAAGTTCAGTTTGGACATAATTGTGTGTTCCCACTTCATTAACTCTGTTACAGTTTTGGTTACATCGTCTGAGAACATAGTTCAGGGGGCTCCAGGTTGTCTTCTTGGAGCTCCTTAGATAGATAAGAGAGATTCAGAGCCCCAGGCCATTGCCTTCCTCCCAGCTTTAACCAGACCCTGTGACTTCATCTGTTTTATATGTGGGGCTTCCACTTAAACATTTTACTTGAAGAAAGTGTTCCATGCTAAGAGAAAAAAAGGTTCCTCAGCAGTGTTTCCATCTTCATTCATCTTCCCAGTTTCAACTTGTTCTTTGAAAGGAGTCCTTTCTCTGGTATCTTCCTCTGGTAGGGTGTATGGATGATACCCTCTGAATCCCTTACATATTGTTCTTTCACCCTAACAGGTGACTATCTTGGCTGTTGATGAGGTGTGGGGGCCACAGTCCTGTATTTGCAGTCAGTAGGTGCTATTCCACCATCTTCGAGTATCCACTGTTGCAAATGAGAAATCCAGAGCCATTCTTTCTCTAAGTTATTTGTTATTTCTTCCTGAAAGCATATATTACTCTTCTTATCTTTTAATGTACAAAGAATTTTACCAGAATCTGACTAGGTGTGTATCCTTCAGTCTTTCAAATTCCAGGTAAGTCTTTTTGCAGCTCAGGGAAATGTTTCAGTTATTTATTTGTTCTAGCTCCTCCATCTGTTCCTTTTTCTCCTTCCAGAATTCCCAGCTGTTTACATATTGGTTCTCCCAGATCTGTCCTCCGAGTCTCACAGGTTCCATATCTTTGTATTCCTGCTCAGAGTTTAAGTTGGCTCTAGTTGATCTTCCAGGTCCCCGATTGGATCTCAACAATCAACATTTTGTTTTCATCGTTTGAGCTTTTTTGGTATGTAAAATCGTGTTTTAAAAATTCTTAGAACCATCTTTTATCTCATAATTGAACTTCCTTATTGGTCTTACCATTTTTCAAATTCTTGTCTGTGTCCTTTAGTGATTCTGTTAACCTAAGGTTCATCACCTCAAGGAGTGCCCTATTTGCTTTTCCTGCCTCTGACAGGATCCCCTTAAGTGGTTCTCTTCCTTTCCTTCTATTGCTCCGGTGACCATCTGCTCAGGCAGGGGCTGGCCCAGCAGCTTCTGGCTTGCCAGTGTGTGAGCCTGTCAGTAGTCCCTGGCCAAGCTTTCTGGCAACCACACCTGTAATTTTCCTAGCCTGGGATAGGGAAGGTCTGTGCTTCTTCCCTTCCCTGGCTTCTCAGGGGTCACAGAGACCAGCACTGCCCTTCCTTGCAGGGCCATGGAGCAGCATGGACCAGACTCTCTCGGGAGGTAGAGCCTGATTGTTGCCCTGGATCTCTCTTCTGACTCCTCGGCCTAGGAATAGTTCCTTGGATTGGGGACTGGGAGCGGCAGCAGAGATATTTTCTTCTCCTCATCTGTTCAGAAGCCTCCAACAAGTTGAGCCCAAAAGAGAGACGGACAGACCACCAAACTAGGTGATTACTAAGCTTCTGTCCAATGCCAACATTTTACAAGCATGTGCATTTATGATCTCCAGCTTCAGTTCAGCCCTCAATACCCTTGGGCCTCACTTTTATGTCTTCCCAGCATGCTCTGCTCCTCCAAAGGGAATATTTGAGACTTTTATTTCTTTCCTCAAGCCCTCTGTTTACCCACCTTCTTGTTCACTGTCAGCCCATGACTTTGAATTTCTCCTCACAAAGAGACTTTCTTGTATTAAGTTGCTCGGCTCCTTCACTTACCTCTAAACCTATCTCCTTTCACTGCATGTCTGCCTGCTGTCCAGTTTTCCATCCTGCTTGAATATCTTTTCACCCATGATGGTGTGCGCCCCTGGCTTTCCCATTGCTCTGGCCACTCCCTTTTTTTTCTGTTTTGCTTTCATTCTTACTGAACTCCAACTCCTCACCCATATTACTGGCTACCAGGGGATATATTTAGTGCATAGAGTTGATATCATCTTAAAACCTGCAGATGCTCCACATTCTGCACTGTGGAGGTTCCTGCCACTTAAAACCTATCCATGACAAGAACAGGCACAGCTAATCCATAGTGATAGAAGTCAGAATAGTGCTTACCTCTGGGCAGGGGAAATAGGAACTGTTTGCAGAAGGGCATGAGGGAGCCGTCCAGGGTCCTGGAAATACTCTGTATCTTGTTTTGGGTAGTGGTTACACAGGTCTCTACATACATAAAAATACACTGAATTGTACATTAAGACTAGTTCATTTTACTGTATGTATGTTATACCTCAAGTTTATAATGACAGAGCCTTCAGTGACCCTCCATTACTACCACAGGTTAAAATCCAAACTCCTTAGTCTAGCCCGCAGATTCCTATTCATTCCTCACATTGTGGCTCAAAACATCTCTTTCCTGGAAATCCCATCCTGGCCTCCCTAGGGTTATGACGCATAGGTCTTCCATGCTCAGTTGGGACCATAAGCATAGGCCTATCCTAATTCTTAGCAGACTGTGTTGTAACTGTATGTCTGCTTCCCTCCCTAGCCTGGGGACTCCCACAAAAAGGACCCTCTTCTCAGGTCCCTGGCTTCCCTTGTGCTTTGTGCAGTGGTAATTGGCACATAGACCCCCACTAAATGTCTGTGTTGTAAATGAATGCAAATTCACTTTGTATTTGCTTTGAGCCTGACCCTCTTACTGAAAAGTTTCCATTCTCTAGCCTGCAGGATGTTTCCTCAGTGAAAGGAAGGCTATTACACAATGGCAGTTTTTGATACTCCTGAGGCAGCCTTTGGCGTCTTACGTCCCGTCTGTGTTCAGCTCACAAAGATCCAGACAGTGCAGAATGTGGAGCATCTGCAGGCACAATTACAAGCCGTGAGTGACTCTGCCCTTCAGGAACTTCAGCAGTACATCCTCTTCCCATTGCGATTTACCCTGAAGACCCCAGGTCCCAAGAGAGAGCGCTTGATCCAGAGCGTGGTGGAATGCCTCACATTTGTCCTCTCTTCAACATGTGTGAAGGAACAAGAACTTCTCCAGGAACTCTTTTCAGAACTCTCTGGTTGTCTGTATTCACCCAACTCCCAAAAACCTGCTGCTGTGTCAGAGGAGTTGAAATTGGCTGTGATCCGGGGCCTCAGCACTTTAATGCACTCAGCTTATGGGGACATCATTCTGACTTTTTATGAGCCCTCCATTCTGCCTCGTTTAGGATTTGCTGTATCTTTACTGTTAGACCTGGCAGAAAAGGAAAAATCAAAGCAAATTAAAATTGCTGCCTTAAAATGTTTACAGGTTTTACTCTTGCAATGTGATTGTCAAGACCATCCAAGGTCCTTGGATGAGCTTGAGCTTGAGCAGAAGCAGCTGGGGGATTTGTTTGCATCTTTTTTACCTGGAATCTCAACTGCACTGACTAGGGTTATCACAGGAGACTTTAAACAGGGGCACAGCATTGTCGTATCTTCCCTAAAGATCTTCTACAAGACAGTGAGCTTTGTTATGGCTGATGAACAACTCAGAAGAATCTCAAAGGTCCAAGCAAAGCCTGCAGTGGAGCACAGAATAGCAGACCTGATAGTTCACAGGGAAGCCAGTTGGGTAAAAAGTACCAGTGACAAGTTGACTCTCCTTATTAAAAAGATAATTGAGTGTATTTCAGTTCACCCACACTGGAAGGTGAGGCTGGAACTCATAGACTTTGTCAAGGCTCTTCTTCTGAAATGCAGTCAGTCACTGATCGAATCAGCTGGTCCCCTTCTGAAGGCTTTGGTGGGTCTAGTGAATGATGAGAGTTCTGAAGTTCAGACCCAGTGCAATAAAGTTCTGAGACATTTTGCAGATCAAAAAGTAGTGGTGGGCAACAGCGCCTTTGCTGACATCTTATCAGAAAACCTACATTCCCTTGCCACTTCTCTTCCACGCCTAATGAACTCCCAAGATGATCAGGGCAAATTCTCTACTCTCTCCTTATTACTTGGTTATCTGAAACTCTTGGGCCCAAAAGTGAACTTTGTCCTCAACTCTGTGGCCCACCTCCAGCGCCTTTCCAAAGCGCTTATCCAAGTTCTAGAATTAGATGTGGGTGACATCAAAATTGTTGAAGAGCGGTGTTGGAACTCTGATCATCTGAGTACTTCTCCAGAGACCTCAGCCGTGCAGCCATGGAGTCGAATCCAGAGGAGGTATTTCCGCTTCTTCACTGATGAGAGGGTGTTCCTGCTCTTGCGGCAGGTGTGTCAGCTTCTTGGTTTTTACGGGAACCTCTGTTTGCTTGTGGATCACTTTGTGGAACTTTACCATGAGTCTGCAGTGTACCGGAAGCAAGCTGCCATGGTCCTGAATGAACTGGTGTTAGGGGCTGCTGGGCTGGAGGTGAAGAATCTTCATGAAAAACATACTAAAGCAAGCCCAGATGAACTGAGAGAGATTGTGACATCTGTACTGGAAGAGTACACGAGCCAAGAAAACTGGTATTTGGTCACTTGTTTCGAAGCCGAAGAAACGGGAGAGGAAGTAACCCTGAAGCAGCTGGACCTCCAGACCATCACATCTGTTGCCCACATCTGCCCTGTCACATCTTCCCCTGCCTTCTCAAAGCCAAGTCTCACTGTTTGCTCCATGAACAGCAACATCTGGCAGATATGTATCCAGTTGGAAGGGATCGGCCACTGTGCACGTGCACTAGGGAAAGACTTCCGTTTGCTCTTGATGTCAGCCCTCTATCCCGTGCTAGAGAAGGCTGGAGACCAAACCCTGCTCATTAGTCAGGCAGCGACCAGCGCCATGATGGACATTTGCCATGCTTGTGGCTATGACTCCCTGCAACAGCTGATCAATCAAAACTCAGACTATCTGGTGAACGGGATCTCTTTAAATCTTCGTCATCTGTCTCTGCACCCTCATACCCCAAAGGTCTTGGAAGTCATGCTGCGGAACTCGGATGCTAGTCTGCTTCCATTAGTGGCAGATGTGGTTCAGGATGTCTTGGCCACCCTGGACCAATTTTATGACAAGAGAGCTACTTCCTTTGTCAGTGTTCTGCACACCCTGTTGGCAGCATTAGGTAACTGTGAAAGCCCTTTTCTGATGCTAATTTTGGGGAAGGACTAGTAGCCTTGTTTACCTAACTGTATTTTTTGCTTTGTGGTTATGTTGTGGAGGACATTATTTGAATAGTCTCTCCGGTCCCACATGTTATGGTAGGGTTCCATTGCTTATTTTTAATACTTCTAATAATCTCTGCCATCCCTTGAGCTCCTGCTCTGTGCCAGGGACATAAGCCCTACAGACAGACGTAAACTTGATTTTTATTTTACAGAAAAAGAAGAACTAAGGTTCAGGGAGAGCCTGCTTAGCCAAGGTCACACAATTAATAAGGACTAAAGACAGGATTATGACAATTTTGTTTTCTCAATATACCAAACTACTTCTGAAGATACTTAGAGTTAGCAGTATTTGTGCTAATGGAGAACAGGAATAACATGAATTATTCAGTCCACAGACAATCTAGAATAGTACTGTCCAGTAGAACTTTCTGTGATAATGGAAATGTTCTGTATCTGTTCTGAGTACACACAGGCAGTAGCTCCATGTGCAGCTGAGGGGTTGAATTTTTTGTTTTCATTTTAATAACCCCATGTAGGCAGTAACATGTTGGACAGCACAGGTCTAGAAACTTCCTTTTAACCTTTTAATTGAATGAGGTGGTTTGAGTTTCTCTCCTTCCCTTTGATTCTGTTGGGTATCTGTTGGAGTTATTAGCCACCATTAAAATGGAAAAGTTTTGGACTATAAGAAAAAGAATTCCTTAACTGGATACTCAATCTGTGAATGAAAAAAATAATGAGCTATGTATCTGTGTCCCTTTTATCCAAAGGGCATATCTCCAATATTAATTTCAGTACTGCTAATAGCCTCCAAAGTAGGTGGAAAGGTCCCTGACCTCATTTCACCTATCTGCTGAGAAAACCAAGATCATCCATGTAAGCAAGTTTCTCACAAAAGGTTGCTAGAACAGGGATAGACCTCTGCCCTGTAGCTGTTAATATTTCCAGTGTTCATTCATTCCTTCATCAACATTCACATGCCGTGTAAATGTTCTTTTATTCCTTCATTCAGTGAAGAATATCTGCCATATGTCATATGCTGTGCTAACTAATCAGGATAAAGCAGTAACCAACACAAACTCATGGAGCTTTCCTGCTATTGCAAGAGAGATGATAAACAAGTAAGCAAGTTGGTAAACAAGCTCATTTCAATCTAATAAGCACTGTGAAGAAAACAGACAACTTGATGCAAGAGAGTAACAGGGATAGGCTACTCTGAGTGGTCATGGAGGGCCTCTCTGAGGAAGCAACACTGGAGCTGAGACCTGAAGGCTAAGATGGGCTCCTCAGTACATATGGAGCAGTCACATCCTTCTTAGGGTTATTAAGAACACCCAGGTAGAGGAATACAGCAGGTGCAAAGGCCTGGAGGGAAGAATTGCTTGGGGTCTTTGAGGATGGTAAAGAAAAGAGGTCATTATGGAAAGAGTGATTGATACAAGATGAAATTGGAAAAGTAGGCGCAGACAAAGCCTGTATGTAGGGCCTTGCAGACCAAGGGAAGGAGTTTGGATTTTATTTTGCAGCTACTCAGAAACGTGCATAGGACTGGTCACTGGGACATCAGCGTGAGCAAGAGGAAACTGGTTCCTGCCCTCTTGGAAACACTAGTGAGACCGGCTAACTGCTTAGACACTTTAGACTATGAGTGGCTTCCACAGCCCAAATATATCCCAGATTTCTACCTTTAGTGCTTTGAGTAACTAAACATGTCAGCTTGAGATTTTAAAAACATATTAAGAAAAGGCCTTTTAAATAAATCTCCTCAGGAGCCATCTCAGTTTGGGCCTTGAAAACTTAATTATCTTGGATTGCTGATATCTTCAGTCGTCTCTAAAGGAGAAATCCTGTGTAGCACTCCTTTTTTTTTTCTGACTTAAGTGGAAGAGGAGGGGTCTCCATTGCAGAGAGGAAAATGAGGATGGTTAAGATTGATTTGAGAGCATCTTAGGAAAAGGCACAAAACTGAGGATAGCTTTTCTGAAAGTTTTGAAATACCCCAGAGTACATTTGCATTTTGAATGGTAAGTAGCACTGAGGTGGAGTTGATCAGTCACACATGAATCAAAGTATTACTGAATGCTGGCTTTTCTGTCTGTCATCGAATTATCTGATGACCACTCTTAAGACAGGAGTTGAAGTATGGTCCTCAGAGAACCTCCAAAAGGTCTTAAAAGAACCCAGTGCATGTTTTAGGAAACTGAGTTACCATAAACAAAGTGTGTCATGTGCATTGACTAAAAAGTGCTAGGTACTACCATGAAGGCAAGAACCATCAGTTTGGTTACTGCTTAGCACCAATTCCCTGATTTTTGGCTGATTATTCATAACAACAACAATAAAATAGGGTAGCTTTGAAAATATGAAAGTGTCTATGCTATACACCTCAGAACTTAGAGGCTTTGCCACATCATCCATGGAGGGCTGCCATATTGTTTTGATGGCTGTATAGTATTCTGCTATAGTTAGTTAGCCACCTAAACCTAGGCAGTTTACCTAAGCAAGTCCTTTCTTAGTGCACATTTTGGTTCTTCCAGTCTTTTGCCACCATAAAAAAATGCTGCAATGAATATCTTTGTAGGTCATTTTGAACATATCTAAGTGTATCACTAAGGTAAATTCCTAAGAGAAGTACTGCTTTGGAGGATAGTACATTTAAATTTTTGATAGGAAGTATCAAATTGCTCTCCAAGAAGGTTACACCAATCTTTTAAGACCTTTTGGAGGTTCTCTGAGACCACAAATTGCTTCTTGGAGAGCAATTTGATACTCCCATCAGCAGTGTAAGAGAGTGCTCGTTTTGCCATGCCCTCATTGACACTATATATTACCAAGCTTCTTGATCTTCACTACTTCAACAGGAGAAAAATAGCACCTTATTATAGTTTAGTTCACATTAAGAGTGAGGTTGAGCTTCTTTTTATTTATTTAAAATCTATTTGTGAGCAAAGGTTTCAATGTCTGGCACTAGCCTTAAATCTAGAAATAATCTTTGCAGTATGTCTATTTTTAGCAGTGTAAGTGCTGGTCCTTAAAAGGGCTCTTAATAATTAAAAATGCTGGTTTTGACTCATTGGGACTGCAGTCCCCTAGAGTACACAAGGGCCTGGTTTATGTCCGGGGCATTGAGGTAATGACATAATTGATCCCTACAGATTGGAGCCTCCAGATACTGGAGTGAGGGTGCTCATCTCCAGCATTTGCTCTCTGCTGTTCCCACTGGCCTGGGCCCTGTGTCTCCATCCACTGCTACTCTGGCTCTGTGCAGATGCTCCTTGACAGAAAGGAGATTAGCAGGTGCTAACGGTTATTGGAAGCTTTTTCCCGGATGTCTGCAAAAGGAGGGTGAAAATTCAGATCATGGAGTTTTCTTCTTTTTGTTTCATTCTTTAAGCATTAAGAGCCTTTTTTGAAATGAAGCCCTGGGAGACCCCCAAAATACAAAAATAATTGACATTAGAGCTGTTGGGTTAGAGATGGGATAGACACCCTGCCCCATTCTCCTTAGCCTGCTGTCTCCTGGTGCCCACCCAAGACATTTCTGCAGCGCCCTAGGACTCCTGAAGGCTCAGTGTGAAAACCAGTGCTTCACTGAGTTGTGACGTTTAAGGCTTATTCTGTGGTGACACGTCAGAAGTAATAGAGCATAACCGAAGAAGGAAAAGCTCTGAAGAGAAAATGCCAGACTTCTGAAACATGTTATATCAGAAACACATACGTGGGGTTGTCCGTGCTCAGTGCTCTGTAGAGCCTGTCTTCTGCTAATGAGTAGTGCATCCTGGACTCAGAATTCTGTCGCTTTTACATGTTCTCCAGTCTAGCATATTTAGTCATTCAGCATATATTTTGAGCACCCACTCATGCTGGGCATATATTGGATTTCCAATGGTGATCAATGGAGAATAGAGTGTCATGGGAGATTCAGACACTAAACACTATGCACACAACAAATATAATTACAAATTGCCAGTAAACAATGAGTTGATATGAAAGGAAAGAACATGGTGCTATAGAAGACAGAATATAAGGGACCTAGGTGAGATTGGCAAGGCAAGGGATGGCTTTACTGGGCAAGTTATATTTGTATTGAGACAAGTGAGTTGGAGTTAGCCAGATGTGACATAGTTAGGGGGCGGATAGTATCCCAGACAGTGAGAACAGCATATGCAAAGGTCTGTGCAGGAAGATACCTGGCACATTGGAGGAACTGGAAGATGGCCAGTTAATGGGCAACTGGGAGTGGTTCAAAGATGAGGTTGGAGAAACAAAGGGACTGGGTCATACGGGGACTATGCAGGCCATGGCAAAGAGCTTATTCTACTTATAATGCTATTGCCTATTGTCAGTGACCAAGGTGATCATCAGAACACTTTTTTTTTTTACAGTCCAGTGGTTCCCAGACACAGGTAATCCTGGGCAACTCCAAGAGCGAAGTGTAGAGGAGGAGGGAAGTCATTTGAGTGAAAGACCAGCAAGTTTTGAGCATACTGCCACAGCGGAAGACATTGAACAGTTTTTGCTGAACTACCTAAAGGAAAAGGATGTGGCATGTGGAAATGTCTCAGATAATGAAGAAGGTAACTATTACCTATTTTTGTTAGCCAGTTTTTTCTTTTTAAAGCTTATTGTGATTACAATGAAATAAGCTTTTTCATTAATCTTAAAATACGATTTTAAAGATCATTGTGAAAACAATGAAATATTGTTACAGAAAGTTTGGACATAAGAAAAGTCACTCATAAGCTCACCATGCTAACATGATGGTGATTTTTTTGCATTCTTTTTTGTTGCAGACTTACTTTTACATGGTTGCAGCCACAGTTTAAATGCATTATACCCTTTTTTGAATTTAGTTATATAGTGTAAGGAACTCTTACTGTTGCTATAGAGTTTTTATAATTCATGTTTTAATAGCTGCTACTAAGTATTCATTCCCCTGTGGGAAATTTAGTTGCTTCTAGCTTTTGACTCTAATAAACATGCTTCAGTGGATGATTCTGTGCACGTGACCTTTTCCTCCTTTTTGCATATTTTTTTACAAATCCCAGAAGTGGGATTTCTGGGTCAAGGATATGAACATTATATTATGCTTGCCAAATTGCCTTCCAGGAAGGTTGTATCGATTTACACCTTCTCTTCAGCAGTTCAGGATTAAAACTGGTTGTACCACAACCATGCCAACGTTGGCTATTATCAGTTTTACTTCTTGCTAAATTAATATATGAAAGTTGGTTCTTGTTATTTCACTTTGCATTTCTTTGATTATTGGTACAGTTGAGCATCTTTCTATATGCTTCTTTCCTAACCATTTTTTTCTTATGCCCATCATCTATTCATATTCTTTGTCTATTTATTCGTTGGTAGAAGGAGATTTCTGTGTTTTTCTTAACCAGTTTATATGGTAAAGGAGAAGGGAGCTCAAACTAGTTAAGCTCTGGCCTGTTTTATTCACAGGCTCGATCTGGAGCTTCAGGTTATGGAAGGATTAATAAATTGTTAGAAACTCCTCTGCAAATATAAAATGTGAAGTCATAATGAGCTTGGTGGTCTCAGAACTATCCTAAATCGAACCGAGTCCCAAATTAGTTTGTTAGGTTGGAATCAAGCAATTTCTTTTTTCTTTTTTTTTTTGGTGGCCTCTACTCAGAGACTGTGCTAAACTAAAGCCAATACTTCCAGGATAACAGGATAACATAGCTCAATGCAACTAACTACAACAAAGTCCTTCCAAACAGCAGGGAAGCGTCACAGGGCCTGAATAATGATTTATGCAGAACTGGTCATTGCTCTCCCCAAGGACAGTTTTCTGATCAGAAATCTATCAGGCTTTTTCTTCTCAGTTTTGTTTCCTGATCCAACCCAGTGCTTTTCCCGAACAGCGCCCACTCCCAAACCTGGAAACCCTGAGGAAGGGGAGGCACCTTGATCCCTTATAACCCGGATTTGCCATTCTCTTTTGACATTCTAGCATTGTCAATGAATCCATTCTTTCAAGATTAGGACCTTCTGGTTCTGGTTGACGTTCTCCAGGAACAGACTGAATGAATCAAATCTTTCTCCCAATAACAGAAAAATTCACATCCCTCAAATAACTTTCTGCAGTAGGTGTATTTCAAACAACAAATTCTCCTCTAGGAAGAAAAGCACAGCCTTCTCATTCTTATAATTATCATTCATCAAGTACACACCATACATGTGGCATTATAAAGAATGTTTGGCTGGGTGTTGGTTTGACATGGGTGGCACCTGGCATATCTGAAGATCCCTTTCTCCAAGAAACCCAAGCAGTCTACAGGTGCATTTTCATTTATCTTTTCAGCATCTGTTAGGGATAGGTGTGGCCTCTGTTGTAAGGTTCTCCTTTTCCAGCATAGGGACCTGAAACGGGGAAAGTTAAGGCAGGCAGTGCTCATCTCAGTGGCAATGGGCCCAGCAAGTAATGTGGGCATGGGGGTAAGGCAGGAGACTGAACATAGATCCAGGACAATTTTTCAGGGTAGGGATTTTGGCCTGGGTTTCATGCAACTCTCAAGGTGTTTTGTTGTTTTAATTTACAAATTTACTCCCACCTCATGCAACACAGCACTCTAGGCAGTGAAAGAATGATAATTGTAGTGGCAGGCATCTCATTGAATGCTCTCAACAAGCAAATGAGGTATACATGATTCATACCTTTTTTTTTTTTTCAGATGAGGTAATGTAGAATGACAGAAATTGCTAATATGATGTGGAGGCAAGACTTGAACTGACCTCCTCTGACCAAACCCCACCCTATGTATTACACTAAGCTGCCCTGGTATTTCCTGTGTACACAGATAAGTAAGGCATGATCTTGGCCATCAGAAGATCTTACAGGCTGGTGGAGGAGATAGACATGTGCTCCATTTAGTCAAAGGATGAGCAGAGAGTAAAGGCAGAACAAAGGCCAGCCAGGGAACTGCCTGGCATCAGGGCTTCACATTAGAACCTTGCCCTTTTATGTGTTTATTTTAAATACTCATAAATTAAAATTTACAAAAGACCAAATGTATAGGAAAAAAGATTTAAAATCCTGTATTATTTCATCACCCTCTCTCTCTCAATACTTTACATTTCCTCCCATGCAAAAATACACGTAGTTATACTCACACTGTGTATGCAATTTTGTATCCTGCCTTTCTCTTTTTAATACGCTGCTATTTCATAAACAGCCTCCCTTGTCATTAAAGCCCCTTAATAAATACAAACTTTAGGGCCCTCCTAACATGCCATTGTATGGATGTACCCTGGTTTATATATAACCATTCCCCCTGAGTGGACATGGAGGGTTCTCCCCCAACCTCCCATTTTGTAGCTGTTACAGTTAATGCTGTGATGAATATCTTGACTCAGCTTGACCCAAATTTCACATGGTTTCCTTAGGATCAGTTCCAAAATGTTTTCCCTCATAAGTCCTGTTCCTGAGCCAGAGACTGGGAGATCAAGGTGAAGTAGAACATGTCTCATAAAACACTGTCCCCAGTTACATTCTTTTTCCAGAGGAGCTGTCAGACCCTCCTAAAATGGACGAGAATGACACCAGTCCCAGTGTGGAGCCCCCGCTGCCAGTGCAGATCCAGATAGCCACGGACGTGATGGAGCGCTGCATCCACTTGTTGTCAGATAACAATCTGAGAATCCGCTTGAAGGTCAGTGTGCAGCCCTTTCCCTGCATTCACAGAGTGGCAAGACTAAAGTTTGGCCTGGCTGGCAGTGACCACACAGACAAGCAAGTAGCTGTCCTTATCTCCTGGTCCATGTGGTGTTCATGAGGAAGCATCTAGAGGAATTCATTTGTGGAATGACAGTCTCCATCTTTCTGTATCAGCTCAGATGCCAAACGGCAGCTGAGTCCCCTTTGTGGAATTAAAAAACACAAAGTTTTGAAGATTTATCGAATCTCTAGGAGAAAGAAAGTCATATGCTTTGGAAAGGGTATCTTTTTCTGAGCTGATTTAATGCAGGATGCAGGTTTTAATACTTGAAAGTGGTCATTCTTCCAAGCCCGATGCTAGCCCTTATCTCAGTTTCTGTTTCCATTCTCTTCCCTGGAAAATCACCAGCACTTCTTAATCGAACAGCCTGGTTTGCTGGCAGTTTCCCAAGCTGCAGCCCATCAGCAAGCACTTATGTGTACAGCAGTGACTCCAATACCAGGAGGGGCGCAGGGTGGGCAGGGGGACAGGGCTTCCAGAACAGTGGGAGAGCTTACACCCAAAGGAGGACAACACAGCGTGGCCCAGTGCTCACCACTCCTGGGCACAAGGGAGCAAAGCAGCTGCCTCCATGGATTACAGTTACTTATGAGAGCACATTGCCCTGCTCATGGGTGCTGGGCTAGGCAAGTGACCCACAGATTATTTCAAGTCTCAGGGCCTGCATTTTGTGGAATTTGTTTAGTTTTCCCAGGATCCCTCTTAGCAGTCATCTATTCCATTCAGCAAGCACTCTGAGTGACTGCTACATGCAAGGCTTTACTTGAGGGTATCTGGTTGACAAAATAGCAAAGTGTCTTCCCTTTTATGGAATCTTTGTAGCAGCTGTATCCATACCATAATTACTGAGAGCGTCAATGTTGCAGTCAGGCCTACACACCTGAGTTCACATCCTGACTCTGGCCCTGTGATAGTGAGTTAGTTAATTCACCTTTTTAAGCCTCAGCTTCTTCATCTGTAAAATGGAGATGATAGTGCCTACCTTCTGGGTTGTTGATTATAAATATGGAAAAATTATTCATTCATTCACTAAATGCTTAGTGAGGACTGCCACAAGTAAGGCAGAGGGTGTATAGAAGGAAATGAAGCAAATATGATCACTGTCTGCATGGAACTTTCTGTCTCTTGTAGGAAAAGAGGTAGTACACACACACACACACACACACACACACACATGGAACTTTCTGTCTCTTGTAGGAAAAGAGGTAGTACACACACACACACACACACACACACACACACGGAACTTTCTGTCTCTTGTAGGAAAAGAGGTAGTACACACACACACACACACACACACACACACATGGAACTTTCTGTCTCTTGTAGGAAAAGAGGTAGTACACACACACACACACACACACACACACACACACACACACACACTGAGGAAATCCTGAGAAGCTAATAATTACTCTATAATAGTAGTTCACCCATGGAGCAAACATTTGTTAGGAACTGCACCAAACCCTGTTGAATGAGACAGAACTTAAATTCTGATTTAGGCCAGGTCATCACAGGAGGCCTCTCTGAGGTGATAACATTTAAGCTGAGACTTAAAGGCTGAGAAGGAGCCAGCCACGCCAAGGGGCAAAGGCAGGGACACCAACATTCCAGGCAGAGGGAGGAAATGTGCATCTTTGAATCAGTGAAGTGACAGACTTGCCCAGTTAGTGACAGAATTCAAATTCAAAGCCAGTGAGTGACTTCCACAATACTGCTCTGCTGTCCACTGCATGCTGAGGTTCCTCTTATTCCCCTGCCTAACCATTAACCCCTCAAGGGCGGGGCCTCTTTTGTTCCTTGTTTCTGTCCCAGTCTCCCTGTGACCAGCACACAGTAGCCATCCTAAGAGTTTATCACGTAACGTTGGCAGAATCACTGTCTTTCTCACTGAGGTGTGTGCCCATACCTGCTCTGTGGAGGCCAGCCTGTCTATGTGGGCGGGAAGCCTGCACTGGCCGTCATGGCCACTGCCTGTGACACTGAAGAAGGTCGTCTGTTTTCAGTGAGCTTTGAGACATGAGAAATCAGGAAACGTTCTCAGGGAAGTTAGAATCCAATTCACATCTAGGCTACCCCAAACCTTTCTTCTGAGATTGGGCTGTATTTCAACTGCCTGTGACCTCTCCGCTTAGGAGAAATAGCGCTTGCCCTCGCACAGCCCCTCAGCTGAACTCTCCTCCCTGTGCTGTCCCATGGAGCAGCACCTGCGTCTGTTCAGCCGGTAGGCATGAACCCATGCAGCTCCCACCTCTCTTGATCTCCCCTGTATTGGGTCCTTCAGCAGCATAAGCCACTTCACCTCCCAAACCCATCTCAGACCTTGTCACTTCTTGCCTCTGCCACCAAGATGCGGCCACATCACTTTCTTCCTCTCGAGTGGACAGGTGCTGTGGCTTTCTGAGGGGCCTCCTTGCTTCTTTCCCCTGTTTCAAGTCCCTTCCCCACTCTGCAGCCAGGGTGACCTTTTTAAAACATGAATTGGATCATGTCACCTCCTTGCTTAAAATATTTTGATGGGCCGTGGATGTTTTATTGCCCTTGTCTAGCTCGGATTAGCACATAGTCTACAGGCACACACCTGATCATCTACATTTGCTCTCTTACAACACTAAACTATGTTTTCTACCTTTATCTTGCATCTACCTACCACTTCAGCATTTTATTAAAAATAATAATAAAGAGAGAAATATATCCACATATAAATCAAGTATAAAAATCAAACAAATATTCATATTTGGACTGATTGTTTATAGTTCATAATGCATGATCAAAACCGAAAATTTCTGTGATGAATACCCTTGTACTGTTCACCATGTAACTTATTCACTATGTAAGAATTTGTTCTCCATGCAAGAACTTGTTCGCTATACTTCAGAAGTTTGGAGACTGACGAAAATTAGACTTGGGGTGGATTAATGATTGTGCATTGAGCACTGACTCCCCTATACAGAATTTTATTGTTGTTAACAACCATTTGATCAATAAATAGAAGAGATGCCCTCACAAAAAAAAAAAAAGTACACACTTCCAATTGTAAAATAAATAAGTAACTGGGATGTAATGTATAGCATAAAGAATATAGTCAAAATATTGTAACAACTTGGTATGGTGATAGCTGGTACCTAGAATTATCATGTATATAAATGTTGAATCACTGTGTTGTACACCTGAAACTAATGTAATACGGTGTGTCAACTACCCTTCAATAAAAAATAATTACCTACAAAAAATATATATATATTTTGATGGGTCCCCACTGCATTTAGCAAAAAATTAAAAATTCTTAACATGACACCTTCACAGTCCCGCCCCATCTTACCCTGCCCCACTCCACACCATCCTGCTTTCATTTCCTGAGCCTGGCAGGCTCTCCCGTGTCTGGTCTTTCTTATTACTGTTTCCAGTTTGGGGAACACTCTCGCTCTTTACATAACTAACTCCTACTCATCCTTTTAGAAGTTTTACGATTTATTTCCTCAGAGAAGTCCTCCCAACAGTCTCTATGGCTTAGATCCCTCCCTTTAGGATCTTTGCATTTCACCCTTTCCTCTCTTTTCTAGTACCTGTCACAATTGGTAAGTGTCCCTTTATTCGAGTGTTGTCTAATAAAGGTCTTTCCCAGCTGACCATAAGCCCCATGAAAGCAAGGAAACATGTATTTTGTCCCTTGGTGTCCCCCCAGTACATAGCCAGAACTAGCATGTAGTCAGCACTCAGTAAATATTTATCTAATTAATGAGCTTCTAAATTTTCTTCTGAAATGGTGACTTGATTCTAGGTATCTGGTTTCAAGCCTTTACTATCTGCTGAAATCATGTCCTCTTCTCTTTAGGTCCTGGACGTGCTGGACTTGTGTGTGGTGGTTCTGCAGTCCCACAGGGACCAGCTCCTTCCTTTGGCTCATCGGGCTTGGCCCTCGCTCGTGCACCGACTCACAAATGATGACCCCCTGGCAGTGCTCAGAGCCTTCAAGGTACTGTTCTGATGTCCCACCTTGGTCAGGTGTGGAGATGGAGGGTAGTAAGTACCGAGCTCACTGGTGTCTTTTGGGATTGGTTCTCTTTTTATCTGATTACAATGGAATATACCTTGAAGAAAGTATAAAAAGGTAAGAAAAACAAAACAAAAAGAAGGAAATACATGTCAGTCTGCTTCTGAATTTGAAGCAGGATGAACTAGTAGACAAGAGGGGCCACCAGTATTTGTTGAGCACCCACTATGTACCAGGCATTGTGCTTGGCACTTCCCCATATGTGAGCTCCTTTCCTTACAACAACCTTGCAAGGTAGATGGTATTATCCATATTTTTGATGGAGGATATAAGCTCAAAGAAGTTAGGGACTTTTCTCAAGAGATCACGCAGCTAATAAGGGATAGAACCCAAATCTGAGAGTTCGTGCCCATGCTCTTTGTACTATACAAGGGTTAAGTGAAGAGGCCTGGGTTCTAGCAGTGGGCATCTTCTGTCTAGCCCAGTGACCTTGGGCAAAGCCCATGAGCACCCATTTTCAAGTTGGGCTTAGGAACGCCTGTCTGACCTTTCTCATTGTGTTGTCAAGGATAAAATGGAACTATTTGGCGAAATGCTTTGAAAAGTTAAAAGCTCTCTCTCTATATATATATATCTATATGTAAGGTATTATTCTTCCTGACTTAGTTTGTCTTATATTAGCACACACATTTTAGCTTCTTTATTTATATCCTTCCTTGTTCTAAAAAGCACTTAAGGCAGCCTACAGAGATACATTTACCAGGGCAAGCTCCCATAGATTAGGAATAGGTGAGCAAGATGAGGCAAAAGAAAAAGATGTGTAGGGACTTAAGAAACCAGCTCGTATACTTGGCAAAAGTATTTCAATTTTCTGTAAGATTTTTCAACATATACTAGACCAAAATACAAGCTTACATTTAAAACATATAAAATCGTTAATACTTTTTCCAAAGCAAAATACACAAAATGACACACACACATATGTGTTGGGGTGGGAGAGGGTGGAGGCTGGGGAAGGGGAAGAAGGAGGGGAGGTCTTGCTATATCTTATTCAGATTGCTGCTTTCCTTGATGAAAATTAATAGATCATCTGAAATAACAGCATAGAAAAGTGAAAAAATATAAAAATACAATGAAGTGGAGTGAAAAAATACAAAGATGCATGCACTGTAACTGAGGCTGCTTTTCTACTCCCAGACATGCTGATGACTCCTGACGTCTGTAAGGCCTTGTGCAGTCCAGCTGAGGGACCAGAAATAAGTGCCTTATTCTCTGCAAAGTCGGCAAACACTCTCTGTGCTGGTTATGCCTTGCTTACCAATTCTTAAAGAAATTTCTATTATCCTGTATACTCAGTCTTGTGCAGTGGGGCAAAACGTTTCAATATGTTCTGCTAGAGAAAGTTTAAAACGAGACATGCAAAGAACCCGCCAGTGTGAAAGATGGACTGAGGACAATGTGCATAGGAGATTGTGTGGTGGGACAGAGGGAATTCCGCCTGCCATGGCTCTTGTCACTGGGGACTGGGCCCCAACTCAGTCCGGGGACCTCAGCCAGCCCCTGCCCTCCTGGTGCCTGCACGTGACAGCAGCCGGGCCTCACTCTTTGTGTTTGTTCAGCTAGCTAGAGGTAAAAGGAACAAGTCTTTTCTCAAGGGATGTTAGGAAGATTTGAGAGATCTATGTGAACCGCTTTAAGCTCTTTTTTACAAAAAAAGGAAGGAAAACCAAGGTATTAATCATATTATTCATCCAACCCAGGATTCCTTTGAATTATTCTCCATGTAATCTGTATTTATGGATAGAAACAGCCATGCCTCGGGAGCAGAGACCTCCAAATTCATAACTGTCAGAATCACAAACCATGGGCAAGGAATTAACAGCAGCAATTCTATTTTTTTTCCTAGTAGAGACTTAGATGAAATTGAATTACCAACCATTACTTAGCTCCCTCGCTGCCTTGTTCAGTCACCAGACTGGGGGTTGTTTCCTGCAGGTTTTGCGTACCCTTGGAGGCAAGTGTGGTGATTTTCTAAGGAACCGGTTCTGCAAAGATGTCCTGCCAAAGCTGACTGGATCCTTAGCCACGCAGGCCCCCGTCAGTGCCAGGGCTGGACCAGTTTATTCCCACACGCTGGCCTTCAAGTTGCAGCTGGCCGTTTTGCAGGGACTGGGCCCCCTCTGTGAGAGACTGGACCTGGGTAGGTAGCAGCCCATCTCATCTGGAGGTACACCCTGCATTCAGCCTCACCCCACCCCTGCCCTCAGTGCTCACCTCTTCTCCCTCCAAATGCACATCCTTCGGTCTTATTTGGCCTCATTTATCCATTTATCTTGTGTTTTTGACTTGCGGGATGAAATGTAGAGCCCAGGGCATCTTACCTGCCTGTTCAGTTTCACTAGACAGCAGTTGGTTACTGCTCATCCCAAGTGAAGTCTGGGGGCCAGTGCTTGTTTGGTTTTTCCTCTCTGCAGGTGAGGGTGACCTGAATAAAGTGGCTGATGCCTGCTTGATTTACCTCAGCGCCAAACAGCCCGTGAAATTACAAGAGGCTGCCAGAAGGTACGTTTGCTTGATCACCCGCATCTCTTTACGTTTCTTCTAAATTATAGATGATTTGCTAATGGCAAGCAGAGTTGAGGCATCTCTGCTCTTTTCTCTCTTTTTGCTAGGTTAAGATGATTTCTTTAACTGTGCCAACTCTCGAGGTGGTATTTTTGCTAGATGCATTTCTCTTTGCAAGTAACCTTTTCTTCTGCTGCAATGTCAGCAACAATTCCAAAGGGGCAGAAAGCAGAAAGGCATTGTGCTGAAGGGGACAGAACGCTGTCCTGGTTAGAGGGCAGTCTACTTCTAGGCCCTTCTCTAGTAGGCAGCCCTGACACTGCTCCAAACCGCAGCTCCCTCTTCTGCAAAGCAAAAGCATCAGGTTACCTATCTGGCATCCCTTGACTCCACAGAGCATCTTAATGGTATCAAGTGTCATGAAACCTCGCAAAGTGCATGCAAAATTAGGTGTGTGCAAGCAGGCATATACATACGCGCCTTTCTCTAGACAGAGTCCACACCACTTGTCCGACTATGATCGGAGTCTGTGAACCAAGAAACATTTAAGAACCACTGGACTAATGGCTTAAAGGGCCTTTTCCAACTTTGAAATTATGTGATTCTAATTTCCAGGAGTTTTGTTGATTTGAGAATAGCTGTGCCACCTCTACTGGAAGAAGCTACATCTGCTTCCTTGAGTCCTAAAAGGTTTTTCTCAAAAGCTAAAACTGAGCACATTAGCGTTCCCCAGACTTGAGACCCCAAATGCAGTTCCAGCTGGGAGCATCCTGTGGAGAGAGCTGGTGAAAGAGGGGCAGAGCAGAACTGCCATCCCCAGACATCTGCTGCTGGAGCAAAAGCCAGCTTGTCTGACCCAGCACTGTGCTGCTGTGGGCTCTGCAGCTTCATATCCTTGCAGCAAAGAAACAGTCCCTGCCACTTCTTAGGCTTCTGGAACCGTGTCCCTGACCTTTCTTGGTGGGGTAGGAGTTATCTCCTTCCCTGCAGAACTGAAAGGCAGCTATGACTGAAATGAGGAAAACTGAATTGCTCCCCTAAACACCTTGCACCCTCTGGGAATGACAGAAATATCTTCTTGAATTGATTTATTACCCTTTGCAATTTTTTTGCTCTTGATTTCCCCAGTTCCGTTTTTTCTTTCTGTCCCTCTCATATCCCCTAGGTCTAGAATCACTCATGGTTTCCCGAGCACAGGGGCACATACCAACCAGCTTCCTATTTCCAGACATTCTTATTGCTTAAAGAACCAACTTCGGGTAAAAAGAGTCCTCCCCTGGGCAGTGTCCCTGAAGCTAATTGTATTGTGATTTAAAGTACAGCTCAAGAACATAATGAATTCATCTTGAAGTAAATTCTTTTGTGTGCCTGGTACAGCCAAGAGTTACAAAGATCTGATTTTCACATTCCCTGCCCCATTCTACTTTTCCTACACTCACCCCATACCTGTCCTTCAAGTTTAGGCCCATCATATAAGCTAATATTCACAATTCATTATCTTTTCGTTTCTAACTTACTTTTTTGCCGCTAAAAGCAATTAATCCCAGACTCGACCTTGCTGAATGGCAAGCTGCTGTTCAGGATGCCTGGGGAGGAGAGTGCAGCCAGACCACTTGAAGGCCTGGCTCCTTTGTTTGCTCTGCTGCATTCCAGTCAGGGTTGAGTCAGATGACCTCGCTCCTGACGGGCTGGGAGGAGAGGAAGTGCAAGGTTGATTGCTTCACAAACACATCATCTGCAAACTTATTTTGAAGTCAGGGGGAAAATCAGTGTTGTCCTTGATGAAGCGCTGATTTGGCATCTTGATTCAGAAATTAATAAGCTCTCTGATGTTTCCCGAGACAATGGGAAGTCTGGTGTCTGAAAGGAGAGTGAGGTGGGTGCGTTGATTAGCATTGAAACACTCATACCTATAGGGACTGATGAATGAGGTCCCCAGAATGAGACGGAATCTCTTGCTCAGCAAATGGCCACGCCATCCATCCAGCTGTTTGACCGTAATTCTCCTCTTTCCTTCACACCCCACACCCATTCAGAAGTGAAGCCTGTCTGTCTACCTAACGCAGAATTTCTCTTCAGCCTGTCTTCTCATCACCTCCAAGCTGCCAGGCCATCCTTGTCTGGCCCAAACAACTGCAGAAGCATCCTTGCCGTCCCCGTTTCCACTTCTGCCCCTCAGTGTTCCCCATACAGCAGGCAGGGACAGCCCCAGCCATGCATGGGAGAGGAGAAGGCTGTCATGTTTGTTGCCAAGGCCAAGGGAAAGCCTGATAGCCTGAGGGTCACAAAATGAAAGTCTGAGCTCAGTGCGCAGAAGAACCGATAAAAGCCAGAGTCGTCAGGAGGCACCTCAGCTTCTCAGAGGTGGTGTGCTTCTGACACTGGACAGATGACCAGCTTGCTTTCCGAGTGGCCCCTCTGCCTTCCAGGGCTGGTGAGGAACCCAGTAAGGGCCGGTGGCTGCTCCGAAAGGAGGTGGGTGAGCGGCCATGTGTAGGGGTGGAAAAATTTTCCTTCTACCCTTCTGGGTTCTGGGGCTGGTCTAATAATTAAATTGAAATAACACAGATTAATAGGAGTCAAACAAATTTTTTATTTTGTACATAAGGGAGTCCCATAAAAATATGAGACCCAAAGGCAAGTAGGACAATGGAGGCTTATTGGTCACCCTGAGTTAAGGAATGGGATAGGGGACCTGGGGCTTCAAAAGGGGAAGTGGAATTCACAGGAAGTAAGAAGAGCACATGTTTGCCCTGCCAGACGGGTAGGTGTCAGATGAAACATTGTCTCTGGTAATAGCTCTTTCTGGTCCAGGCCCCCTGTCTAACTTCCTTTAGGTACTTAAAGGAGAAGTAAAAGTTTGTCTTAACACCTGCTGGGTCTTGAGTGTCTTCAGCCCCAAACAGTCCACATACCAAAGTGGCACATCTTAGGGCAACCCATTCCACTCCCCTTCATGAGTCTGTGGGTCTGGCAGGTGGGGGGTGGGACCCCCAAGGCACAGCTTCACTTGTGTTGGAATGGAGACACGTTCGGCAGCTCCATGGAAGTTCCTTTATGTATGCATTATGGTTGGGTTTTTCCTTCCTCCTGTTTGCTTTTCCTGGCTTCAAAGAATGACCAAGCCTGTGTTTGCTTTTTTAATTTGTCATATTAAATAGAGCCTTTGTGGCAGGCTTTTACATCCAGGCTATAAACTCTAGAAATGGAAATTGATCAGGGGGTCGTTGATATAACTGAGGTTGTAAATGCTAAAAACAGAAATGCCATTCTGGTTTAATGCTTTTATCTAGCGAATGTGCCTTGTAAGGAGGGGCATAAATCTTGCAACTTGGGGGAGGGGGGAGGGGGAGGGTCTGACCTTGCTGTGTGTTACCACTAGGTGTCACTGTTAACTGGCTATGGCAAGAAAAATACCAGCTCCCAAATCCATCTAATTAAATAACTTCAATGGGTAACAAATGAGAAAATCGTATTTGGGGTGTGGGAGGAGGGATCAGCATACCATAAGCTATAAATAAGGCAGTGTTCCTGAGGGTACACATTGGATTACAAAATAACAGGTCGCATCAGCCACTCTCTCATCTCAGCCATGGCAGAGGCAAACTCAACTGATTTAAATTCCTAAGTGGCCCTGGAAGCCTCCAAGATATTGCCCAGCATGCAGTGGGCCTCCACAGTTCTGTGCCTTTCTGGCCGTGGAGCTTTTCCTTCCCATACATGAAATGAATTTGAGATGAGAGCACATATCCCAAATTTCTGTGTTTTTCCTACAAGTCAATACATGCTATCAGCCTGGTTCAGCTCAACTCCATTGAAACCACATTCCCTGGGCCTATCTCTGAGACTCCCTGTCTTTTGCAGGATGGTGTTATATCATCCAATTAGTCCTCTACCCTGGGACCAAAAGGAACAAACCAGGAGATACCTATTTTTAAAAAGATGAAGTCCATGCCCAACAAATCTCGCAATGAAGGGACAGAACTTTTAGGCCCCTTGATCTCTACCCCTAGTCCTACCCCCACCTACCAAGCCCAGAGCCCAGGTGGGAATGCAGGGTGCCAGCAGGTAGCAACTGGCTTGTGCACCTTCTGGTTGTACAGTCCTTGGGGGTTGGGGTACGTGCCCTCCCAGCTTCCTCTGTGAAGCCACTGTATATGAGGGCAAAGGGCACCAGTTTGGGAGGTGGCCAAACCAGGGTTCAAATCTCACTGGCTCTGTGACCTTGAGCAAATGACTTAGTTTCTTTGTACCTCATTTCCTTCGTCTGTAACATCTTCCTCCCAGAGTCACTGTGCAGATGAATTGCATTAATATGTGAGGGAGCACACTCAGCATTCATTCATTCTACCGATGAGCCGAGGAGATACCCGGCACTGTTCTAGGCACTGTAAATAGAGGATACCAGGAGAGAGGAGGCCTCTGCCCTCACAGTGCTCCATTCTGGAGGTATATTTATGTGTGTATACACACTTATGTGGTATATATATATAAATTTATCAAACACATACACGTATACACTTGGGCATGGTATCGGTGTAAGCCTGCTTCGTCTTTACTGAAGTCTGAACGAAAGTTTTCACCTAAGAATGATCTGTTTCATGTTAATTGTGCCACCACCCCCTACCTCCCTTTGCATGAAAAGTCAGGACCAGGTTTGAAAGTTCATTTACCGACTGACGTCCCCACTTTCTTCCCAGCAGTAGGATCTCTGCCCATCAAAGAACCAGCCAGTGCCTTCAAACCTTGGATGAACACAGACTAGCACAGGCACATTCATTTCATCCCTGTCAGAGGCCATCGCCTCTCTTTACCCACATGTGGGCCTATTATATTTGAACAGATCAGGAGCCACAGAGCTGATCCGTTAGTTCAGCTGAGCTTGAAATTAGTAGTTCGTCCCCTTAAATGGTATGGGCAGTTTGAGCTGGGGCTGGAAAGCTGTTTCGCCCTTGGATTATACCCAGCATGGAAATAAGGGCACTCCTTTTGACATTTGATTAATAGTTGACAAACTCAGACCCAAGTAGTTAGCTTTCCTATTACCCATCTTTTGACAGGCATTCATGCTTTTCTTTTCCAGGCTCATTGTTCTAAAAATACACTCTGATCTGAAGCTGCTCACTGTGCATGTACAGCCATGATTTCCTGGTGTCAAAGATAAGCGACATCTGCCATGCAGATTATAAACAAAGTGGGTTGCTGCGTTTCAGATCTGAAGGCAGGGACCTCTGTGCTACTTAATTCAGATGCTGCCAGTCCTTTCCCAGCTTCCTTGATATTGTCATGTAATTGATAATCTGCCAGGGTCAACCATTTTGCCACCCAGTGGAAAAGGCGAGTGTGGGATGTGCCTGCACGTGTACGTACTGTGCTGGGTCAGGAAGCAGGCTGCTCTTAATGCTCCTGGAAGCTGGACCACCTGCACAAAGTGAATTTCCCATATCAAAAGCCTTGGCAGACCACAGGGTAGCCATTTCGTCACTTTGAAGGGTCTGTGGTCTGTCCCGAACACCTACAGCAGTGAGTATATATGATGGTATCAGTACCGAGTAAAGTAGCCAGGGAAATGGCCTCGATTGTCTTTTTTATGTATAATTATTTAAAAGATTTTTTTAGGGTCTCAGTATGAGCCAGGTACTCTGTTGTAAGTTGAAAGATTTCGAAGATGAATACCAAGTAAGAATCGGCCTCACGGTGCTGCTCAGTAGTGGTGTGACCCTAGGCAAATTAATTTACTTTTCAAAGCCTCAGTTTCTTCATCTACAGGATTAGAATAAACATATTTGTTATTCTCCACTTAATAAAATTATTACAAGGATTCAGTAAAGTCATGTATATTATTTTAAGCACAAAATAGCAGCACAGAGTGAAAAGTCAGTAAGAAGTAGTTATCATTTAAACATTCTCCTTATTCCAAAAAAGACCTAGGGCATCATATAAATTAAATGTGTGCAGCAAAAAGGTAGGAAGTGAAGAAATATTTTTAAAGGGGAAAATAGAGGAAAAACCAGGTGAAGCCAGGGTTGACATTCACATGTAAAATACAGACTAAGAGCTCTGTCCCCTTGCTAGACATGAGCTGTTAAACGTGGCTCTGGGCTTCCTAACAGGCGAGCAAGGAGGAAACTGCATCTGTTGTACAATTTTCAGTCATTAGTGGAATAAGAAAAAAAGCTCTTAAGAAATAAGCCCAGCTTTCCTTGGTACCAAACCCTAAAAAAATTTCTCCATGGGTCATCTGAGAAGAACACTGGGTTACTGCTATGTGGCTAAGGTCCTTACAGTAAATACAGAAGTGTATTTCCTAGAACTGTTTCTTAGGGCATCTGTCAGTGGAAGCTGCTGGCTTAGCACCAAAGCATGGGTTACAGGAAAAACAGTTCCGGAGGAGGGGTTCAAAATAGGTGGGCTGCTGTGAAGATGATGTTGTCTTCAAGGGTAGGAATTTTCCAGGTTGGAGCAGGAAACACTGCCTGTGGCCTGAGAGTGCAGCCATCCAGGCCGCTTTATTGCCTGGCTCAGGGCCACTCTGAAATCTGCGCCCAGCAGCACTGCTGTCATCCTGGGATCTAGGCCCGCAGGGGGGCCTGGAAGCAGGAGAGCTAGCCAGATGGAAGGGGCTGCTTTTAAATCCTGCCTCCAGTGGGATTTAAACATTTCTAGGTTCTGGCTTATTTTTGAATTGTCTGTAACAGATTGGTTCTCTCAGTGCCATATCTTTTTAAATATGCACAAAGCAATGGAGTCATTCCACTGCATTTATGATACTTTGTCTTGTGGTACTTTAGGGGTGCGATTAGCATTGTAAGCTACTACTGGTGTTTATGCTTTTAAGTCCCATCCCCACTGCATTTTATATTTTTAATACTGGTCTGTGTGTCTGTGTTGGAGTTAGATCGATAGATGAATGGTTTTGAACAGGTAAATATAGTTAAGTCTAACAAGTATGTATAGCTGCAAAGGTTATTGGTAGTATTTATTTGGAGAGTAAATCGTTGCTCCAAGTCATAATCCTCCATTTCCAACATTTAGAAACAAAAAACGACCTCCGTGCAGGGGAAGATAGCTAAATTGAATAGCAAGGAAGGACAGACTTGAAATACTGGTTAACCAATGAACCGAGACCCATTAGAGTAAATTACCGAGATAGAAACATCGCCCCACTGCTTGCTGGCTAGGACGCGTCGGCACCCTGAGCATCCATTTGTTTAAAAGGAAACACAGAGCCTCATTTGTAGCATCAGCATGTACAGAGTCGCGGGAGAAAAGATGGCCAGAGAAAAGAGGAGCGTGGAGGCTGTTCTGCCAGAGAGGGAACGGCTGGAAAGCTAAAATAACTTTGTGAATGTGCCTGCTTTCCAATAGGTGAGTTTATTTTCCAATTGCATTTAGTCATGCCCATGTAGAGACAGCCTATATCATGTTCCTAAGGAGACATACCTGAATAAGTGCTTTAGAAGTCCTAAATAAATAAATAAATAAATAAACAAACAAACAGATCACAAAGCCACAAGTTCTTTACCACTGGCATTTATGCAGTCCGCTCGTGAGAGCGTTTTATAAATCCAGAGACAAGGAGCAGCAGATCCCTCAAGCAAGTAATTGACAGAGAAAGAATAGCCTGTCACCCAGGAGAGCTGGAAGCGCTGCATTTCAGTTACAGTTTATTTAGCTTTACTGGGCCTTGATTGGCTGGGGGTTTTCTAGAGCTCCCTTGGAGCAGATGTTGGCTAGACCAAAATGGTGAGGACACGCTGTAATATTTGCATCTACCGCAAAGAGGTTTCTTTTTGGTTTTGACACATTTGTGGGGTGCAGGTACAGGGCTGTGATCTAGCTCCCATACCTGAGAACTGCTGTGGACGTTGGAGCTGGAAGGGGCCTTAGAGCTGATCTGATGCCCCCCTCTTTACCAAGAAATATTGCCCCACTGCTTGCTGGCTAGGACACGTTGGCACCCTGAGCATCCATTTGTTTAAAAGGAAACACAGAGCCTCATTTGTAGCATCAGCATGTACAGAGTCGCGGGAGAAAAGATGGCCAGAGAAAAGAGGAGCGTGGAGGCTGTTCTGCCAGAGAGGGAACGGCTGGAAAGCTAAAATAACTTTGCCATGTCCCCTCACAGGAGTTCTTCCCCCAGTCCACCCCAGGTGTGACTTCCAGTGCAGCCCTCTGCGCATCGTGTCCTAGGCCTCTGTGATTCGGCTGCCATCTCTACCTGAGCCCTGCGGCCCCAGCCTTTGTCCATCCCACTTTGTATCCGTTCTCCTAGCACAGTGTCTGGGCTGTCCCAGGTGCTAGGAAACGTTTGGTAAACCACAGGGAGACGGGCCAAATCCTGCTGACCAGATCCTAGGAGTACGTAGTCTCCTACGTCCCCAGGCCACCTCATCCCCAGCTTTGTCACTCAGAGCACCCCGATATTGATCATAAAGGAATGAGCTGCTTCTGTCGGTTTGGTGCCTGGAGTTTATTAGGTACTTACTGATACCCGTCAATTGTAGATAGGGCTGAAGTGCGGGGAAATGGCTGCCTGCATGAAGCGAAATTCAATAAAACCGCATTTTAAGTGAAAAATCAGTATAAACACCAGGCTTCTTTGCCATGGAAACAGAGGTTGCTTAGAAACTGCCTAACGGGCGAGTTCTAAATTTTTTAAGTCAAGTTATCATTTAAGCTACACGGCCCCACAGGTTATTGAGAGATAATCACTCGCCTCAGGACACTCAAGAGGCACAAGGTACAGCTGAGTGCCTCCCAAAACTCTGGGGACCAGATAATCTCTTGATAACTGCGCTCCCTGGAGCCACTGATTTGGGCCTGGGGGAAGGAGAAAGAAATTTTTGTTCAGGACTTAAATGGCATACAAGTATATATTTTTAAGTGTGTCTCTTTGGGTTTGAAAAAAGATGGCGCTGGCCCTTTGGCATGTTCAGCAGCCATCTCTGCCATGTCTTGAGATGTATTAGGAACATTTTGCAGGGAGTTTACCCCAGTCACTTCAAAGCAAGTCCTATCCTTGTCTTGGCTTTTGATTATGCAGAAGGGCTTTTGAGGTCTTCAGCTTTTGGCTCCTCACTCCCTGGGAGCCCCTGTCCCCAGCTCAGGATGGGTAGGAACTGGCTTTGGGATGAACTGATACCAGAGTTTGGAGCAAAGCTGGGCCACTGAGCAACTCAGACAAGACCCTGGGTCTCAGGTTCAGCTCCCAGGGGCACAAGGCAAACAAACGTCCAAGTGCAGGATTTGTCTGTATTTAGAGCTCAGCAGGTCACATGTGTTTCGCCGAGCAAGAGCACAGCTACACCAGCCAGTGCCTGGTTGCATGGCATGGTATTTGCTCCTCACCTCAGGCATGCAGAGGACAAAGAATATTGCATTTGTTTCTTCCTGAAAATAATGGACTCAATTAGAAACCCATTGGCTAAGACGTGAGACCCCCACGAAGTCAGTGTGAAGGAAATTATGAGTAAAACAAAGGCAAATGTTTTGCCCTTTTCAGAATGTCTCAGAATTTTCCATGGTGTGGTGCTGCTAAGGTTGGTAGTGATAATTATTCCTTAAACACACTCTGGAAGGAACAGTGTTTTCATTATACACTTCAAAGTGTTTTCCTGCACCTCATCTCCTTAGAGCCTCAGAACAAACCTGTGAGAAGGGCGGGATGGGTGTGATCATCTTCCTTTGGAGAAAGAGGAAACAAGTTCACAGAGGCAAAATAATTTGCTCCGAGCCACAGAGAAGGGAGAAGGAACTTGTATTGCTGCCTGCCATTCTGGGGAGTCTACCTCTTTAAGAGCTAAGAAATGAGACCCCAAATAATTCTTCCATGAGTTTGGCTCTTGCTTAATAAAAGAAGGTGAACTTTGCACACGTTTTCCTTTGCGTCCCAGTTAGCATTTTATTTAGAGATCTCACAGGGCAAAGAGAGTGGCTTCCTTCCTGCTAAAGAATACGTCTGCATTTAGCATGTTAAAAGGGACTCAGAAAATGAACGTCGCCATGTGTTTATGCCATGTAAGTCAGAGCAGAGTTGTGACTCAACAGGGCCGTGGCACCACTTTGCTGGGTATTGTCCAGATCAAAATATTCCTTGAAGCTGAGAGGGAGCCATGCTGTAGCTTGAGAAATTGTTCCAGTTCTTGAAAGGGTAAAAATCCAATGAAACCATTTACATTCTAACAGTCTTTGGCACTAGGGAAAACTGTCAACTGTGTCACGTGTAAATAGAAATGTGTTTCTCATTTTTGGTGCATTTTCTTAATTTCCCTTGCCACTCTAATTATCAAAGATATTTTTGTTTTTAAACAAAAATTGTCTCCTACGCACGCCCCATCTCCTTTCTGCAGTGAAGTGGAAACGATGAATTAGAATATTCTAACCGCTTCTGTACCAACCACTGCTGAGGTTATAAGCAATGATTATCCTAAGTAAAAACAAATTGTTTGGGCACAAAACAGGCCAGAAAATTTTTCAAGTTGCCCCCCTTCCACCTGCCTCCCTTATCTCCTTAGCATGTCTATTAAACCTAAGGAAGAAAACAAACCTGACTTCACCACAGTGAGACCCAAATCCCCTGAGGGTACAGGCTTTTCAAATCACTGAAATTAAAAACCAGAATTTAACCCCATTTAGCAAGCATTTTAGTTCCTATTTAGTACCCCAACAGTCCAGGAGAGTCTAGGAATGGTCATCAAGAATAAAATGTGATCCATCAAATAGATCAAAGCTGTGAGTCAGTAGCTAGGGATCCATGAGCTAGATGCTATGTAGGACTGGATCTGTGAGTTCTCATTTAAATCTGCAAAACCCTGAGTGAAATATATCCCCCATTTTAGGATTGAGGAAACAGAGACCAAGACAAGCAGACTCATCTCCCTCAGCCACATAGCTAGTGACATCTGCAATGCCATGAATCCTGTTAGTAATGTGCCTTAGTCCTTCCTTGATGGTGAGCAGTTGACTCTCCTTCAGATACTTTTATAGAAGGTAAATACTTAAGATGTCATCTTAAGTCATTAGTATGTGGCTTAATAAATTGCTTATTACATACGAGAACCTGTGCAATCAAGTATTTTGGGGGCTTACTATGTGCCATGCTGGGTCCCTGGGATATAGCAGAAAACCAGACAGAGACTGTCTCTGCCCTTGGGAGTTAGTTTTGTCAAGAAGGGAGATGATCAATAAACAAGCAGTTGATAAGTGCTTGCAAGGGTGTCCTGAAAGAGAAAAAGGGGCAACTACCTAGGCAAACTGGTCTGGGAAAGCTGACCTCTCTGAGCAGGAGATGCATGAGCTGAGATGGCCAGGATGGCTGAGAGGGAGCTGCCCGTCCAGGGGTGGTGCCCAACTGTCCTCATCCTTTCTAGGATTGCAAATCAGGCTCAGACTCACTGAGTTGGCCAGGTGTGTGCTTACATTTGGGGACTGCCCGGTGCAGTGGCCCTGGGCATGTGACTGATCATTGAGAAATGGGATATGAGTGGATAAGAGGCAGGGTATGTGACCCCAAAGTTCACTCCAAGATAATGAACCTCACCCTTGGTGGATATGTGTGGCATCGAGTGGCCCCAGATCCTTCAGCTCTGTGTGTGCCATGCATAGGACACCAGTTCTCTGCCCATGCAGAAGGTCATAGGGCAGGGATCAGCCTGTCCTGCCCCAGGAGAACTGGTTCTGATCCCTGTGTGAGCGTGTGCAGACCACCCAGAATCCATGGCTCTCCTGGCAGAAAGGGGCCAACCGCAGAGCTCAGTAGTGAGCTGGAGGGCCAGAGATGAGGACCTGGAGACTCAGAAGCCATGGGCCTTCCCAGACTGCTCTGAGGCTGGTCCTGAGAGCCAAGTGGGCCTGTAGTGAAGGGTAGGCCCTGTCAGTTTTCTTCTTTCTGAAACTCCTGCTTTATACCCCAGAACTTAACTGTTTGTTTGTTTTCCAAGAACTTGGATATCAGTATTATTCTGCTCAGATGAATTGTCTTCTCTTTGTCAATGGATATGAAACTCTACCTCTATTTCTGTTAGGCTTTGGGACCATCCTAATGGCCCTGTCTTACCAACTGAAGTGGGTTTGTTCTGCTATCAAAGTGATTATCTTTTATCATCAGTTTCTTCTCAACTAGCCGAGTGGATGGGACACCAGCAGCCCTCCTCATGCCCCCGACACCCCTTTCTGTCTCTCCACAGGGTTTTCCTCCACTTGATGAAGGTAGACCCAGATTCCACCTGGTTTCTCCTGAATGGACTTTACTGCCCCGTGCAGTTCACGCCTCCCCATCCCAGCCTCCACCCTGTGCTGCTGCAGGGGGCCATGGGGCAGCAGAACCCATACGCGGCCAATGTGCTCCACCTGCTTCAGGAGCTGCAGTGACCCCTCCGCCCCTTTCCTGCCTCTGTATGGGGCTGACCCCACCCGGGCTGAGGCGGTGGCAGTGTCAGAGAAGACTGAAGGTGGATTAGATCGATTTATAAATTGATCAATCACACAACTGCATAGAAATTGGATTGAAGCAAAGTAGCTGACTGTTATTTATATTTCATACCTGGTTTTCAAGTGACATTGTCTGGCAGCTCTAAGGGCTTAGCTCCTTATCTTACCATCTCTGCGGCCCCAGTTGCCTCACAGGCCACCTGAACCCCCCACCTCCCACACACACCTCCTGAAGAGCTGAAGGGCGCATAGGGCAGAGCCTGTACTATGCATTGTGTGTGTCCTCTGAGTACTTGCAGACCACAGACCACGTGGGAGTATCATACATCCAAGAGTCCTCAGAGCACAGCCCTGCCTCTCAGGCCAACATACCTGCCTCTCCTTGATAAGATGAAACTAACTCATTGCACCTAACCTGTTCTTTGGAAGAAAATGAAATAAAGGCACTCCCTGGATGGAAAGTATTAGGAGCTCACTTGGAAGTTTGTTATCTAAATTGGGTGCTTTTTTAAAAAATGAGTTTATGTTTTTGAATGACTAATACAGAACCTTGGTATAAATCCAAGCTGTACAAAGCTTGATTTCATTGAAACAGCGAGAAGTTTCCCTCCCTGTCCGCCAGACATCTGGTTTCCCTCCCCACCGGCAAACACTCATGATTATTTTTTGGATACCTTTTAAGTAGGAGATCATAAATTTTTTTTTAACATTTTGCTATGGATAATTCTGAAGCCCTGTGCCATAACCCAGCTGCACCATTAACCAATACATGTCCAGCTTTCCTTCATCACTATCCCTTTCCATTTACTTCCCACCCCGACCTGGCCCCTGAATTATTTTCAAGCAAATCCCAGATGTCACATCCAACCTTTTTTTCTAAATACATTACCACAATAGCATTATCACACCTAAAAGAATTAACTGGGGTCCTTTTATCCTGTATTTGGTCAGTGTTTAAATTCCCCTGGTGTGTTTGAATCGGGATCCCAAGGAGGTATGTACATTGCTATTATCTGTATGTCCCTTAGTAAATCTCTGAATTTATAGATTCCTCCCATCCACCACCACCTCTTTTTTCTTTTCTCTGTTAAGTTTTTTGTTGAGGAAATGAAGTAATTTATCCTACAGCATTTCCCACAGTCTGAATCTACCGTCCTGTGGGGGTCACTGCACAGGCCCCTTCTGTCACCTCTATTTCCTGTATGGGGGGCAGAGCAAGAGGCCTGCTCAGGTGTGATTTTTCTGTTCTCGTTTTTTGGCACACTCCTCTGTAGGTGGTATTATTTGCTTCCATCAGGAGGTATTTAATGTCTGATGTCTTCTCGTGATATTGGCAGCCATTGGTGATCCTCTCCTGGCTCTACTCGTTCATTAGGGATGGCAGAGCGCTATCCCAGGGCCACCGTGCCAGCTTGCTTTTAGCTAGAGTACTTGTGTAAAGGGAACTTCCCTTCATCAACCATGTGGTAACCTTGAGGGAGTTTGTGTATAAAAGGCAGGATAAGTACCCAGTTTTTTAGCTGGAGGATTTAAAACACACATATTATGTACATTTAGGCACACAGCTACATGCACACATGCACCTATGCTGAAAGTTTCTAAGAATGATGAATGTTTCCTCATCGGATGAATGGTGAGGCACCGTCTAGATATCTCCTCCAGTGACATAGATAATCCTCAGGCTCTAAGAAAAACCCAGAAGGTCATTGGCAATGGGACGTATTGGAGCAAAGGTTCCCAGGCAGTCCCAGAGGGGTGCCCTCATGTCCTTTTAGGGCCCTGCCCACAAGGGCAGCGGGATGGCCAGCTCGGGCTGCAACCTGGCCACTGGTCTGGCTCTGCCAGGGAGTCCTCAGGGGCCCTCCCTCTGGAGCCTCAGTGCTCTGGCCTGTAAAATGGGCTGGAGAGAGCCCTCCAAGAACCCGAAGAGATCTAGGGACTCACTCCCGAGAAGCATTCTGCTGCCTCCCGTCACTCCGAGGGAGGGCAGGGCACCCTCCCAGACTGCAGTTCCGTATCCTCTCCTGGGTCCTGCAGGATCTGCTGAGCTGGCTTCACTAATTCTGTGTATGATTCCAGAGACTGTACCTGTGACCCCACAGAGACCCCAAGGTAAGAACCCCTGAAAGAGATAATCACTTCCTTCCAGTTTTAAAAGTCTGGGATAATTTCCTCTGGGAAAAGGTGGGGGAATGCCCTCTAATGAAGGGGACTAAAAGAATTCAGGGCATTTTTCCTAATCCCACTGAGGACATGAAGTGATGGGCTCACTCAATCTCTAGGTCCTGACAAATGAGAAAACAGGTCAGGGAGGTGGTGTGATTTGTGGAGCATCACCTAGCTCCCAGTGAGATTCGGGTAGCCTGCCTTCCTGGGGCGCCTGGGCATGGCAGGCCGTGACAGTGTACCACAGGGTAGGAGAGCATGCGCACACATCCTGTGCCGTGATAAAACTTGGGCTCTGGGGAAGCTCTCCAGGAGATAATCTGTGTGGGAAGATTTGCCATAGTGTTCCAAAAACCCATCTCTTCAAAGAGTTAAGGCATCCTGAGTTGCTTTCAGATTCCTGCAGGCAGATTGTTGCACTTGATTAAAAAAAAAAACTAATTAGAGTGCCTCTCTAGTTATTATTTTATTAAGGCAACTTTAATTTTGAGCCTGTCCAGCTGAATCAGTCTAGCCCTTGTTAACGTACCCGCGCAAAGTGATTGTTTCCCCCGATTAAAACTTGTTGCTGCAGTGAGGTTTCCTCCATTTGGGGTTTATGAGCATTGGTTTAGCCAGAGTTGGGATAGATAAGGGATTAATAGGCAGATACTGAAACGCCTTGAGTTCAGATTGAGATATCTAAGCTCTGATCTGCAGGCAGTGGGAGGCTCCTGGAGGATTAAGGCAAGTGGAGGGCTGGGTGCCCAGGATCCTGTGAAGGGTTGAATGTGGTCCTCAGGAGGCACCGTATTGTGGAAAGAGCATGGATGCCCTGGAGTTCATCAGAACTGGGGTTGATTTCTGACCCTACCTCTTAGTAACTGTGTGACCTTGGGCATGTCACTTTACTTCATTATCCCATCTCTAAAATAGAGTTGCTGCCTCTGCTACTTTGGATGGCTGCTTCAGGAGGAATAAATGCTGTCGAATTTATAGTGGGTAGCATAGCGCCTGGGTCATTCCTTCCTCCCTCTTGACCCCATTGCTCATGGTTTTGTTAGGGATGCAGTACATGCTTCTCCAGACAGGTACAGCTGGGGAAGGAGATGGTTACATCTCAGGATAAACCACCCAGGAACTAAAGGGGGCCACAGCAGAGGAGGAGCTAAGATCCTGGTAGGACAAGAGACTTCTGGCAGGTAGAGAGGATAAAAAGCATTCTAGTCTAGGAAAATAACATGTCCACGG